TCTGTGTGTTTATCAAAAAATTAATTACATTGTGTACCTTTAGATTTTACTGTAAAAATCAGTTTCATGTAAATAATCTAAAATTGTATTAACATTAACATTTGTAAACAGTTCACGCATCGTTCGTACATTATTGAAAAGTCTACTTCGAATAGGCGAAAAATCAGAACATTCTAAAAGAATATGATTTATAGTAAGCGGACAGTCACAGGATATACATTCTGGCTGAAGTTCTCGATTTAATAAGTATGCATGTGTTATTTTAGAATGACCAATACGTATTCTTGAAATAATCACTTCGTCCTGACGTTTCAGGCCGAAGTTAGATGATATGTTAACTTTGTTTTCTATTGCATATAGTTTACTTGTATCACAAAATTCCCAATATATCTGCCAAAGAGAATTTACATTAAGTTTCACAATATATTTTAGGTCAGTATAAGGAATTTTAAAAATGGTAATTTCATACTGAAGTGCCAATTTTGCAGCACTATCAGCCTTAGTGTTTCCAATGATGCCAATATGACTTGGAATCCAACAAAAGTCAACTACTTTACCTTGTTGAGTGAAACGATAGAACTGAACTAATATATCTAAAATGTATGGTTGATCGATATTCATATTTTGTATAGATTGCAAGCAAGAAAGCGAGTCCGAAAATATTGTAAAAGAGTTGTCATTAGAAGATTTAATATATTCAAATGCAAGCTGTATGGCTTTTGCCTCTGCTGTAAATATTGGAGCTTCATTTGGAAGCCTTAAAGAAAAAACATTATTTTTATTCACTGCAGCCGCTGCTACTTTATTTTGGTCTTTAGAACCATCTGTATAAATTTCGACTGTAGAATTTTTAGATTGTTTTATTTCGGCTAATTTCTGTTTAAAAACAAGAGAATTGGTTTCTGATTTCTTAAATTCAGTTAAAGATGTGTCTACATTTGGTTTAATTAATTTCCATGGCGGTATTTCAGAGAAACTTGTAGGTTTTATAATGTCCAAAGGTAAGTCAGAATCCCTGATATATTTTCTAGATCTTAGATTGATTGATTGATTGTATATTGTTTTACGTCCCATTCGAGAATTTTTCACTCATATAGAGACGTCACCATATACCGGTGAAGGGCTTCAAATTTTGACCTTTACTCGGCACTCAGGGCCATTGAGCAGTGAGGGATCTTTATCGTGCCAACGCCTGCCGTGACACGGGGCCTCGGTTTTTAAGGTCTCATCCGAAGGACCCGCAACTTTCACTTCAAAGTGCCGAGCGCATGGCGAAGGAACAGTTGCTACCTATTTTTTATCGACTTAGGTCTGTCGCGGCCCAGATTCGAACTCACGACCTCCCGATCACGGAGCGAGCGCTCTACCGACTGAGCTACGGTGAACGGTACTAGATCTTCGACCAATAGGTTTTATACATGTTTTACTTTTATCATATAAGTTTTCGTACTGCGGATGAAAAACACAATCGTAAGCAGGATTATTAATACTTGCCTTCAATTTGAGAATATACTGTAAGGTAAGTTTGATTCTTTTAAGTCCAGCGGTGGCTCATTTGCTTCAACGTATAGACTGTTTACAGGAGAAGTTCGAAAAGCTCCTAAGCACAGTCGAAGGCCTTGATGATGGACTGCGTCAAGAGCTTTCATGTATGAAGTTCTTGCCGAACCATATACAATGCAACCATAGTCTAATTTAGATCTAACTAAAGAACGATAGAGTTTTAAAAGAGTATTTTTATCCGCCCCCCATTTTGTATTTGCAATAACTTTTAATACATCTAATGCTTTTGTACATTTTTCTTTAAGCATTTTAATATGCGAGATAAAAGAGAGTTTACTATCAAAGATAATACCTAAAAATTTTATCTCTTTTACTACTTTTATAGGGATTCTATCTAGAAGCAAATGTGGTTCATCATGTGCTTTCCGTTTAGAGCAGAAATGCACGCAAGCGGTTTTACTTTTTGAGAACTTAAATCCATTTTTATCAGCCCAATTTTGAATTTTGTTTAGACAAAGCTGTAATTTTTACTCAATATAATTCATATTTTTGGATTTAAAACAAAGAACAAAATCATCGACATAAAGACTTCCATGCATATCATTTTTAAGCACTTCTGCTTTACTGTTAATTTTTATGCTAAATAATGTGACAGATAAAATACTTCCTTGTGGCACACCCATTTCCTGTTCAAAATTGTCCAAATATGTAGACCCCAAGCGTACTTTAAAATGTCTATTATTCAAAAAATTCTTTATAAAATTGGGCAAGTGTCCTTTAAGGCCCATACTGTAGAGATCTTTCAAGATGCCATATCTCCATGTGGTATCATATGCTTTTTCTTAGTCAAAATATACAGATACGACATGCTCTTTTTTAATAAAGGCATCTCGAATATACGTTTCCAGTCTTACTAACTGGTCAATAGTACTTCGGTTTTTTCTAAAACCACATTGTATATTAGTTAAAATGTTATTGGTTTCAAGAAACCATATTAAGCGTTCATTGATCATCCTTTCCATGGTTTTACATAAGCAGCTTGTTAAAGCAATTGGTCGGTAATTATTAGGATCTTTGTGGTCCTTTCCAGGTTTTGGAATAGGAATAATTGTTCCTTGCGTCCAGGAAGGTGGAAAAATACCTCGTGCCCAGATAGAATTAAAAATTTGCAAGAGACATTCTTTACTGTTTTTAGGGAGATGTTTAATTATTTGATAATGTATTTGGTCCGGTCCTACCGCAGTATCATGAGATTTATCTAAAGACTTTTGCAGTTCATTTAAAGTAAATGGTTGATTATAACATTCAAGGTTTTCAGACGTAAAATCTAAGGTTTCCTTTTCTTGTGAATTTTTATAGGGAATAAATGTAGGGCTCATGTTCTTTGTGGAAGAATTTTTAGAAATTGTATTAGCTATTTCATGAGTTATTTCTGTTTTATTCGTAATAATTTTATTTCCAATATTAAGATGTTGATATCTTTGAGGACCCTTTCCTTTTATTTTTCTTATTGCGTTCCAAACCTTATTTATCGGAGTATGCGTATTAAGGCTGGAAACAAACTTTTTCCAAGATTTTCGTTTATTAAAATTTATAGTTCTACGAGCTTTTGCTCTAAATATGCGAAAATTGCTTAAATTCATTGATGTTGGTAATCTATTAAATAGTTTTTCTGCTTTTTTGCGAGCTTTAATAGCATCATTGCATTCTTCTGTAAACCATGGTTTTTTAGTTTTAGTAGAATTTGCCGACGTTTTAGGTATACATTTATTTGCTGTGTTTAATAGTATTTCAGTAAATTTTTTAATAGGATCAGGATGGTTTTCAAACTTCTCAGCCGAAAGATCTTGTAAGCATAAGTATTCAAATTTCATCCAATCAGCCTTGTTTAGTTTCCAGTTTTGAACATAACTATTTTCTGGGGGATTATTCACCTCAACGATAATAGGGAAATGATCACTCCCGCATAAATCGTCATGTACTGACCAGTTAAAATCTAAGAGTAAAGAAGGATCTACTAAAGTGATATCTATGGAAGAATATGAACCATTGCCTGGATGTAGGTAAGTGTTCGAGCCGTCATTAAGTATACAAAGATTATGTTGTGATACTGCATCTTCTATTTTTTTCCTTTATCTGTGATTTTGTCACTACCCCATAGCGGATTATGGGCATTAACGAGGTTCGCTCCTGAGCTTTTGGGCAGATTTTTGTCTTAACCTATATTTAAAAAATTCTGCATAATGTTTTAGTTCTTACAATAAATTTGGATTCTACAATACCAATTAAACGATATTCAGTTAAAACTCCATGATTAAGTTCCATACCAAAAGCATTAAGAGAGGAACTATATCTTGTGGCGGATGGATTTTTAGAAGAAAATGATCATTTTTTCTCTTTCGAAGTATTTGAAATATGTTAAGTTTGGATTCCTATTTTTCCATGCAGCCTGCACACAGACTTATTCTGTGCCGTGAACTGTTTCATGCTGGTCCTAAATTATATATTAAATAAACTATCATGAATTTTATCATCATATTTAATAAATATAGCAAATATATTGCGAAAATACAGAAAAAAATAGCCCTAACTTTTGCTTAAAATTAGCACTATTTTACTATTATCTAAAAATTAACATCACAGGCCCCCACTTTTTATTTTATTTTCTGAATATATAAGATATTTTTAACCATTCTACTTAAATTCAGTAAAATGTCATTACTTTCAAATGATTTTATTGCTTGTTAAAATTTTTAATGCCAGAAAAATGATATTTTTGTGTGCAAAAAGGTCAAATAATTAAACATGCGAAGTAATTTAAAAAAAAAATTGTTGTCACAAATTTTAATGTATCTATTCAAAATGAGATAAGACTGTGTTTGTTCCCATAATCTATTTGAATAAAAAAATATTGGAAGGAAAACTTTAAAAATTCAATCATGTGTATGATGTATTTGCAGTGCAAAAAGGTCAAACTAAATGCCCTGTGGCGCCAAAAGAAGCGCATTGACCCCCATTTTTTGTTTTCATTTTTAATTAAGCTACATGTGTAGATTTTAAAAATATACTTGATAAAAAATTCTCATTACTTTTGACGACAGGATCCAACCTCCTTAAGTCACCAACAATCAAAAATGGCGTAGGCAGTTGTTGTATTAATTCTGTAAGTTCTAAAGATTGTAACTGATAGTTTGGGGGAAAGTATACGGAACAAAGGGTAATTGTTTTATCGAGAGAAACGCGAACAGCTACTGCCTGAAGATTAGTTTTTAAAACAAGTTGGCTATGAATGTAATTATTATTGACTGCTATAGACGTACCACCAGAGCATAATGGTTATACATACTATAGTTTTTAATACTTATCAGTTTCTTTCAAATGTGTTTCTTGTAAACATAAAGCTACCGGGCAATGGTCCTGAATTAGTAAAGATAATTCGTTAAAGATGACTATTAAACCTCGGCAATTCCATTGTATAAATGTAGGATGATTCATTTTTATTTGCTATGTGTAATGGGGGATATCCTCCCTTTATTTTTATTAGGTGATGTACTTCGGACTTGCGAGGAAGAATGGCATGGTGTTACGTCCATTTCCTCGAAGACCCCAAATTTATTATGAAGAGCGACGGGATCTTGTGCCCCTTTGGGCAACCGATCGCTCGTCTGCTTTTGTACATTTTTAGAGGGAGATTTGTTTCGTCTCCCAGACGATTTTGATGAACCCGCAGCTGCGGGCTTTGGTGTAGCCATAGCTGCAGATTTTGGCGCAGCCGCAGCTGCAGGGCCTGCAGAAGCAGGTGTTGTAGTGGATTTAAATTTGTCATTAGATGACAGAGAAACCTTAGATGTTGTGGTCTGTTGAGGAATATCATTCCCACATACCTGAGTAGACATATCCTTCTTTGAGGATGCTTTTAAAACTGTTGAATATGAGGGCAGATTAGGCTTAGGTACGCTATACATATTGACCATTTTTTTCGCTTCTGGATACGGAATTCTTTTTTCTGCTTTAACTTTTTGAATTCCCTTTTCTTTTTGCCATACAGGGCATTGTTTTGAAGAAGCCATGTGGTCTCCCTTGCAGTTCTTACATTTAGGGTCTTTTTGACAGCCTCTGCCATCATGCCTCTCCTCACCACACCTGAAGCATGCATCAGCACTTTTGCAGTTTGATTGCCCGTGTCCAAATCTCTGACACTTAAAACAGCGCAGTGGATTTGGAACGAACGTTTCAATTTTCATGATGTACAGGCCGACTTTAATGTTTGTTGGAAGTGTAGGTGTACAGAAAGTCAACAGGTAAGTGTTCATCGGTTCGATGTTGTCGTTACGCTTTTTCGTGAACCGTTTAACAGAGACCACACCTTGAGATTCCAATTCACATTGGATTTCCTGTTCCGGAATGTCATCAAGGTCATGATCTCTGTCGAACAGAATACCTTTGCTTTGATTGAGCCCAGAGTGTATTTTACCGATTACAGGGATATCTGCTAGAGCAGTCAATGCCAACAAAGATGTAGACTGTTGTTTTTTTAGTAACTTCAATCAAAAGAGCTCCAGATTTTAACTTTTTAACTGATCTCGGAGTTCCAATTACTCCCTGTATTCCTTTCTGTATGAGAAAAGGCGACACCTTTGTAAGGGGCTTCGTTTGTTTTTCTGATAATTTTGCTTCAAGTGTGATGAAGCGGGGCCAGTGTTCCACAACTGAAGTAATCTGCTCATCATTCATAGAGTACTCTAAACCTGATGGGTAACAACGTTTTTTTGTAGTAGCCATGGTTTTATGAATAAAATTCAGAATCCTTGCTCCCCGCCCGCCACGGAGCGCCAACAAGGGCGATGTCAAGTCAAACGGATATCCAGTAAGAATGACACCAAGAGGGTACAAAGAAACTATACTCAGACATGATATGCCTGATTGACCCTAAGCCACCGCTTGATATACATATATTAACATGGAAACGTCGGCGTATTGGAAATTTGTGAAAAAGGCAGATAATAACAAATATATTACAAATACATCAATACTATGACATGTCAATAAAAACAGCTCGGCGTGACCAGCCGATCGATCAAGACGGGCCAAACTTGACCTCCCGTCTAGATGAATATGGGGCCAAAGTGGAGTGTTGGTCATGTCAGGTGCGTTACACCCAGCACCTGCAGACCTCAGCCACCAGGATCCCCTTCTCCACCAACACGGGTCGCAACCCACGGCCAACAGGCTGCCCCATTTAGTCGCCTTTTACGACATGCAAGGGGGTGCCAGGGACCTATTCTTGTCACCCCGGGTCCCCTAGGGGGTTTACTGGCTCTGAAAAAGTGCGTAAAATTTGATTACTTCATTGCGACCGAGTTAAACGGCAATGTTAAGAGGTCTGCAGCTTATATAGGGTTTGTACGGGATAGGGCCGATGTACAAGAAACATGGCAGACAATGCCTTTACGGTTAGTGTTCAGCTTTAACTTTTCAATCGTCAGATTCCCTTACTTATGCAGCTATATACCTTCATCACCTGCATACGGGGTTTATATCTCAGTTGATTCGATACGCAATAGCATGCTCTATGTATGAACAATTTCTTAAACGAGGTAAGTTATTGACAAACATGTTAGTGAAACAAGAATATCAGCAGTCTTGTTTAAAGTCGTACTTTCAAGATTGAATACTGTGCGTTATCTTCCTATTTCATTCGTAAGTTCTATGGTCGTTCAATGACCTTTTCACAGAGCGAGTAAGACATAATTAAGCTAGTACTTAACCTACCTTGATTGTCTTCAGCATTCTGTAAAAACATGCTGGCACCATTGTTGTAGTAATCTGACACGTACAGCCCCAGAACGCTTAGAATGTACCCATTTGAGGCCACAACCATCATTAAGTTTTACTAATGGGCGGTTTTTATGCAAGCTGTATTAAAACCGATGGAATTCGTAATTACGGCTCTTTTGTATGTAGATGTATGTGCCATCCAGTATGATCACAGCTTGATCTGCTTCTCAGTGCAAAGTTTAATTGATTGATTATTGTTTTACGTCCCGTTCGAGAATTTTTCACTCATTTAGAGACGTCACCATTTACCTGTGAAGGGCTTCAAATTTATCTGCACTCAGGGCCATTTAGCAGTGAGGGTTCTTTATCGTGCCAACGCCTATCATGACACGTGACCTCGGTTTTTAATGTCTCATCCAAAGGACCCGCAACTTTCACTTCAAAGTGCCAAGCGCTTAGCGAAGGAACAGTTGCTACCTATTTTTTATCGACATAGGTCAGTCGTGGCCGTAATTCGAACATATGATCCTTCGATCACGGAGCGAGCGCTCTACCGACTAAGCTACCGTGACGGTAAACGGTCACCTGCGTTTACTCAGGTGACCTATTGCTATCTATTTCGTCCCTCGTCGTGCATTAATATTTAAACATTTTCAGCTTCTTCTATGGAACCACTGCACCAGAATTAACCAATTTTGGCATATAGCATTCATGAGTGAAAGGTAGTAAATTTGTGAAATTCATGGCCCCTGGGGCCTTAGGGATTGGGCTAAAATGATCAAAATTTATACAATCTTTAAAAGTCTTCTTTACTCCTGGACATCAAACAGTCAAACTGTTGGCATGATTGTAATGAGCATTGACCCCTCTACCAAAATTGTGAAATTTCTTGCCCAAGGGTCAGAGGTTCTGGTATTAGGACGGGGCTCTATTGAATGTAAATCATATACGGTACCATTTTGAAAGATGTGCATTTCGATAAATTGTCTCTTCAGTGACGTTCATGCCGAAACTTTGGAAATTCGATATATTTAAAAAAAAAAACAAAAAAAAAAAAAACAACAACAACCCCCCACAAAAAAGAGCTGAAAAAAGGGGTACCAAAGATTGCAGCCAAATACATCGAGGGATCAGAGCTTTGCATGAGATAATCCTCAATTTTGAAATAAATTTCTGACTTTTACCACAGCAATTATAGATATTTATCCGTAAATTTCAAGCTAGTTCCGAAGTACTTAGTTACTGGGCTGCAGAGACCCTTGGGGACCAACAGTCCATCAGCAGAGGTCTCGACCCAGGGGTCATTATGTAAATCATATACGAGACGTATTTATAGTGAAAATGCATCATTTCTTTTAAAAGATCTTCCCCTCTGCTCCTGGGTATTAAGGAAAAAAAGTAATGCATAGTTATGGTGTCTCTTCCAAAATTGTGTATTACAATGATGTAATGATACATCAAGGGTTCTGCCTTGGATTTCTCGAAAAAAAAATTATGGTTTTAAGTTCAATCTCAAATCCTGAGAAAATAATAAGAATTTTCTCAAATCGCGTTTCTCGAAATTATCGACATTGTCATTGCTACCATATGGAATGGCCGTGCATAGGTTTTGTCCCCCGCTTTCACTGAAAGTGGGTGATATTAATTTCGCACTTTCGTTTCCGCTCGATATCTCGACAAGCCCTTGAGCTTTCGCAGTGAAATATTACAACTCCCTATGGCCTAAAGAAGACCCCTACTCATTTTAAGGTCAAAGGGGTCGAGGTAATAAATTCTCTATGTTTTAATTCTTTCGTTTCCGCGCGATATTTCGAGAAGTATATGAACTTTTGCAATGAATTACATATCAACTCCATGAGGCCTAAGGAATACCCCTATTGACTTGAGTTCAAAGGTCAAAGTCATAAATTCATACATTCTGTCTGTGTGTAACACTTTCGTTTCCGGGCGATATCTCGAAAAGCTTTTGCATTGAAGTTTTATAACATAACTAATGATGGCCTCGTCGCCCGCGTGGCGCAGTGGTTAGAGCGTCTGCTCTAGAGTCGCGAAGTAAGGAGTTGATCCTTACGTCGCGGGTTCGAATCCCACTGTGGGACGTGGAGACCGGTCCTTCGCATGAGACCGTATAAACCGAGGTCCCGTGTCGCAGTAGGTGCTGGCAAGAAAAAGATCCCTCACTGCTCAAGGGCCGTAAGTGCCGAGTATAGGACAAAATTTGCAGCTTTCCACCGGCATGTGGTGGCGTCTCCATATGAGTGAAAAATTCTCGAGAGGGACGTTTAACAACATACTAAAAAATAAACAAACATTATGGCCTCTGTCGCCCCTCTCAAAGTGCCCCATCCCGTTTTTTTTTAATTGTATTTAAAGTCGCTTGGCACTGTTTAGTACAGGAGAATGCGGAGAATTGTTACATAAAATAATGTCGGCGGACTTGATTTTCTAATTACATCTATTTGAACTGTTTAGTAAAGGCTTAATTAGACACTATGTGTTTTGTAAAATTTGGACAATATCGATCGTGAATATAAACATGTATATGTGACCTGATGTTTGCATTTAATTTGTCTTAAATGCAAGCGTCCCGTTGGTCTAGGGGTATAATTCTTGCTTACATGTAGCATATCAGAGGTCCCGGGTTCAAATTCCGGACGATTCCGTTTTTTTTTCCTTGAATTTTTTTTTCGATTTATTAAATAATAGTATTCAACATATGAAATGAAGTTATGACGTCTGGCGTGTACAAATTTTCTCATGAAATCATTATTACAGTGTGATAATTATTTTACATAAAAAGAATCTTCCGTAAACATACTAAAGAATAGTTCAATCAATATATATATATATATATATATATATATATATATATATATATATATATATATATATATCCATATTGGCATTTTTTATTTGCTTCACTATACATGTATACATTTAATTCTTCTGCAAATTCGGGACCCCCCCCCCCCCGCTCTTAGATCTGCGCATGCTCTTCTCTTTTCCTTAAGCGGGGGACACGAGTTCTCTTAATTAGCTTGTTTTTCCTCAGCTGAGTTTTTTCAACGTTACATAAGCGGCCCTACTCCTTACTTCCGGTTATAGTATGCAATGTAACTCCACTATATGCCAAAAAATGGAAGGAAAGATGGCTAAGACACTCCGCTGGCCGAATATGACAGAAAAGATTATTTTGATGGCTTCGGTTGAGGCGGTCCGACGTGAGGAAGACGAAGGGCCGGGGGTGTCAAGAATGGTAAGATTAAAGAGAAAGCATAAAACAGGTCCAGTCCAAAGACTATTTCTATCTACGTAGCTATTAATAGGTATTTAAACCTACCCAAAGTAGCTATTTTTACCTACTTTTTGTATTACTTGCATTTTGTGGCCAAACAGCCGAACGGCACTACGCGGTGAGTACCGAATTTCTTGATACAGTCACACTGATTATGAACAGGGCAAAATTTTAACCAAAAAATGATTACTTCGTAAATTAACAATTTTGCAAAGTAATTGATGCAAAATTGTCAAATTATGATGTAATTAATTTTTTGCCCTAGATTTTGTTGTATTCATCATCAGTGTGACTGTATCAAGAAAACTGGTACTCACCATGTTGCGCAGTTCGGCCATTTGGCCACAAAATACAAGTAGTATAAATATTTTACGATCATGCAGGCCAACATGAATATGCATAATTAATTAACAATACTTATGTTCACAAAAAATTGGGGGCCTTGTTTTATTTTTTTTTTATTTTATTTTATTATTATTTTTTTTTTTTTTTTGTTTTTTAGAAAAATGTACCTCTTTCGTGCTATAATTAGATTTTAGACGTATCAAGGGGAATTCCAAATTCTTGAGACAACAAACGGGCATAATACCGTTCAACTACATGCAGTATGAAGTATCAATGATATTGGTATCTTTTTATTTATCATTATTAAAGCACTAAATGATGGCTGTGACCATTGCAGTATGCTGGTATATACACTGTGCATGTGATAAATATATGAGTTGATATTCATTGATATTTTGAAAATTCATATTTATTTGTAACAAAAGAAAATGTGTCTGTATTTTTTGATAAATAACACCACTCTTACCCTATTGGACTTGAGCAGTGTGCAGCCAATATCAGTCCTCCACCTCTACAAGTACATCAAAGCGAAGGAAAACTATGGAGGATGAAGAAAAATAATGTACTTACTCTACGTGCAGAGAGGGAGAAGTACAAATAGGAAGTGAAAAAAATAAAAGAAGAAGCGGAATATTGTAAAGTTAAAACTATGTATCTAAAGATGAAATTGTCTCAAATGAACAAGGTTTCTGAACAATAAGTCTGTCGCTTAGTATGTTTCTTCCCATTTCATTAAGGAATAAAGGTCATAAATTGAAACATTAGTTAAAAAATAATTAAAAACAAAGGTCATGGTCATTCCATATATATTGACGCATTTAGGCAGATTTTGTCACTTGACAGATAGCGTAGTTGGTAAAGCCCCATGACTTGTGATTCAGGGGCCCAGGTCGAAATGTTGGTCTGGGTCATACATCTTTCTCCTCGACGAATATATAAATCATACATGGTACATGTAGTACTTTTCCAATTTGGAAGGAATTTTAGGGGAACAGATCTGGAAATGTTTCTTGAAAATATTTCATTGCTTTGATAAGATATTGACATTTCTTGCCAAATTTTCAGATACACAATATACGTATTTTAATCTTGCATATCATAATATTCTCAAAATATCCAAAATAAGATCTTTATAGGAATTATTCCTTACTTGCATGAACAATTTTCAATAGCTGAATTCATTCTACGCATGAATAATAAGCAAGTTACTCAAGGTCATGTTTTGCAGGTCAAGGTCATTTACAAATGACACTTTTTCCTTCTTTCATTTGTCCAACCTAGCCTTTATATTCTAAAATGATTTAATAGGTCATTTCAAGATTTATTTAGAGTGGTACATATTATTCTAAATGCAAGTGAACAAGTACCTGACTTTAAATTTTTATTGCTGTTGAGTGATAATTTGATGGTACAATTTGCCAAGAAATACTGAATATTTCTAATAAATCTGTGTCATTTATGGT